GGCTTAATAACATGAATAAAATGTTTATATTTTTTCCTGATTTAATCAATTAAACAAAAATAAAATAAAATGCTAAATTGTAATTGGCTAATGAGCATAAGTGAGGATAATGCATGTGCACCCTTGATTAAATTTAAATCTGATGATCCCTATTTAATTAAAGAAACACACTTAATTTAAAATGTCAAAGTTGCCCTTTCTAAAAGCTTTAATTAATTTAATATAATTAAAAAAATTAAAAAAACACTAAAATTCACAACTTATTAAATAGACATGATAAAAATCAAATGTAAGCATGGAAAATTCTAATTAATTATTCCGAATATTTTGATGGAAATATAAAAAAGATAGGGTAAAAAATGCACAAAATCGAGCAACAAAAATGCCTGAAAGATTAGACTGACCTCATCAAAACTGACTAGCATGTAATAAATGTCTCGGAGAAACACATCGTCTAGTCAAACTTGAAAATTGAACGGGACCGGTAAAAAGACTCAGACCAATCAAAAAGTGACTGAAAAAATTGTTGAGAGATAAGGCGAGTGTGTTAGGTTAAACTTTATGAAAAGTAGGTCAAACTAACGTCTTCCAGCTTAAATTCGAAACTTTTTAATCACTGATTTTTCTCGTATATTTGAGACACATTTTAACCAATCCGTCTGCATATCCAAGAAATTTATCATGGCTAATCATTTTAGGAATTATTCATGCTGAAACAAAAAAAAAAGTTATGCAATACAAGAGATGTATAAATGAAAATAAAGTCAGACAAATGAAAAAAAAAGGTATGACAAATTTTGGGTATGACTGATGCCTTTATCTAATTGTCTTGAACCCGAGAGAATGAATAACTACGTGGCGTTCATTTTTAGGGTGAAAGTCAATTAGATACAAGAAGACCCCGAAATTTGTCCGACAAGGAAGTAAAGTGAAGTGCAGTAATGAAGTAAAATATAATAGAATGAGATAGCGGGGTACGAAGTGAACATAATAACTTAAGGGCTTTTTGGGTGGTCGAAGCAGCACCCCACAGACAAAGTCTCTTCAATGATACCAAAGCAGTATCTCATAACAAATATGAGATTCTTCGGGTGGTTAAAAGAGCACCTTATCCATTAAGGTTCTTCGATGATACCAAAGCAGAATCTCTGAAGGCATGAGATTCTTCGGGTGGTCGAAGCAACACCTTATCCATTAAGGTTCTTCGATGATACCAAAGCAGTATCTATGAATAAAACATGAGATTCTTCGGGTGTTCAAAACAACACCTTATCCATTAAGGTTCTTTGATGATATCAAAGCAGTATCTCTGAATACAACATGAGATTCTTTAGGTGGTCGAAGCAGCATCTTATCTATCAAGGTTCTTCGATGATACCAAAACAGTATCTCTGAACACAAGAGACTCCTTGGGTGGTCGAAGCAGTACCTTATCCATTAAGGTTATTCGATGGTACCAAAGCAGTATCCATGAAGGCATTAGATTCTTCGGGTGGTCGAAACAACACCCTATCCATTAAGGTTCTTCGATGATACCAAAACAATATCTCAAGTAATAAATTTGTTGGGGGAATAGTTGAGCAAGATTCTAGTTGGAGGCAATATATTATCCAAGTTCTGTAGGGGAAAAGCTTTCAAGACTTTTTAAGATATCCTCTACTTGAGGAGCAACAAGAGCAATAACTAATGAGGACTATTATTGTCAACTGCATGGTTGAAGAATGACTGGTTAGGGAATAAAATTCCAAGAGTACGTGAGGGTATCTTTTCTTTTCAGAAGAATATTGCCGACTTTGAAGGAGATGTGGCCAAGATGTTTGTGAACTAATCTTGGATCTTGTTATGCTATGCCGCTGGGGACAGAAATGCCATGCATTGCATGATGCACAAATATGCATACTAAGATGCAACTACTAGGGAAATTCTAAGTGCATATGCAAATGATTAATATGCAATGCGCGTGAGAATGCCATTGAGTAATTGAATATTTGGTAGGCCTTATTTATAGTTTCCAACGAAGGATCATTTAGGAATAGATGAAGCAAGATGAAAAGACTCACTGGGTATACTGGTATATTAACTCGAAATTGAGAAAAACAATCAAATATATTATTGACTCGGGGGTCGAGAAACATTAAGATAAATTGTTGTCAACTCGGGGTTGAAAGAAAGGTAAATGCAACAATATCGACTCGGGTGTCGAGAAAATAAAGATAATATTAACCTTGAGGGTCGAGAAAATAAAGGTAATATCAACTCGGGGGTCAAGAACTAAAGCAAGATATCAAAGCGGGGTTGAAAAATAAAAAAGATAATAATGATTCGGGGGTCAAGATTTGTAATATGATGTCAAGTCGGGGGTTGAATAACAATGATATCAACTCGGGAGTCGAGAATAAATCAAAATATCAACGTGGGGGTTGAGGATATATTTAGATATCACCATCAACTCGGAGGTTGGAGAAATAACAACAAAAATATCGACTCAGAGGTCGAGGGACTAAAGACAATATTGACTCGGGGGTCAAGATCAAATCAGAATATCAACGCGGGGGTTGAGGAAGGAAATGATTATGTTATGTATGCATATGGTACATGATAATGGTATGCGATGCATATGTGAATGCAAGCAGATGATTGGTTTTATGAAGGTGCCGACAGGGTGAACTTTTGGTGGTTGCCAAGCAAGGTTGGACTTTGAGGGGTGCCAAGTAGGGTTGGACTTTGAGGGGTGCCAAACAGGGTTGGACTTTGGTTGATGATGCCAGCAGGGTGGACTTTTGTTTTGGTGAAGGGATTTGACTTCCCGACACTCGGTATCTGACGATGCTATGATCAGAGGACAAATGTGGATGTTGTTGGTGCCCCAAGTTGGATCCTTTGTAGAAGTTGTGTACTCGTTCCTGAGAGAACCTCACTTCTATCTGTTATGCCATGATGGCTTGTAAATGATGAACATAGTAACGTAACCAATTCATGTTGGTTATGCTTTTACTCTGCCCCAAGGCTGTTCGACACTTGTTGAACTCGAAAATTATTGGTGTCTGCCATGGTTAGCTTGACCAACTTTGGAAGCAAGGAGGGAAACCAACCCTTTCCAACTTATCTACCCCTGTCTGTAGGGTATTTTAATGATTTTTCATGAAAGGTTTATGCCATGACATAGTTTGAGATGAGTTGCCCACCCCTTCTTCGTGATGGCCTTCAGTCCTACGTTCAGTTAATTCAACATGCGCACTTAGATTTTGACGGTGTAAGAATGAAGACGATGATTCAAGATTTGCTGAGCTCGGTAAAATGAACGTGATACAATTGCAGATTGAATGAGGAAGTTGTATCACGACGAATTTATGACATGAATGGTGGAGTAGAGAGGTTTTGGTGGTGGTGCAGAACAACAGAGGGAGTGCTTTGGTGGTGGTGCGAAACAGTGGAGGGAGTACGTTGGTGGTGAGAGTTTTCACCTCGTGAACGATCGAAGGAAAAGAGAAAGAAGACTTTCTTCTTTAATTTTCCAATGTCAAAACTCTCCTCTTGGAGTCCAGCCTTTTTTTTCTCTTCCTTTTTTGTTCTGAAACAAAACCTGAGAGAGAAGATGCCCCCTCCACAAGCTGCCCCCTTCCTTCTTATCCTATTCTTTTTTCATTTTTTTTCAATTAATTAAATTAAATTACATTATTATTATTAAACAAAACTATAAACAAAATTGCCAACCCACAAAAAGTCATGTGTCATCTTGAGATTGGATAAGGTGGCATAAATTCTTAAATTCAACCACTTAGGAATGGACATGTGGCTTAATGACATGAATACAATGTTTATATTTTTTCCTGATTTTATTAATTAAACAAAAATAAAATAAAATGCTAAATTATAATTGGCTAATGAGGAGAAGCGAGGGTAATGCATGTGCACCCTTGATTAAAATTAAATCTGATGATCCCTATTTAATCAAAGAAACACACTTAATTTAAAATGTCAAAGTTGCCCTTTCTAGAAGCTCTAATTAATTTAATATAATTAAATCAATTAAAAAATCACTAAAATTCACAACTTATTAAATATACATGATAAAAATAAAATGTAAGTATGAAAAATTCTAATTAATTATTTCATATATTTTGATGGAAATATAAAAAAGATAGGATAAAAATGCATAAAATCGAGCAATAAAAATGCCTGAAAGATTAAATCGACCTCATCAAAATGATTAGCATGAAATAAATGACTAAGAGAAACATAGCGTCTGGTCAAACTTGAAAAATTGATCAAAACCGATAAAAAGGCTCAGACCGATCAAAAAGTGATTGAAAATTTGTCGAGAGATAAGACTAGCGCGCTATATTAAACTTTACGGAAAACAGGTTAAAATCACTGACGTCTTCTAGCTTAAATTCAAAACTTTTCAATCACCGATTTTTCTTGTATATTTGAGACACAATTCAACCAGTCCGTCTACATATCCAAGAAATTTAGTCCAACTAATCATTTTAGAAATTATTCCTGCTGAAAAAAAAGTTATGCAATGCAAGAGATGCAAAAATAAAAATAAAATCAGATAAATTTAAAAACAAAAAAGATAGAATAAATTTGAAATATGACAAACTCGAAGAAAATTAAAAGTGAGAGAATCTTCAAATATTAAAGAATTTCATTAAACTTTTTTATAAAAGATTTTTTAAAAATGACCCATATGATGAGAGATAAAAGGTATTAAAAAAAAATTCATGTGAATGAGAATTTTATTGCTAGACTTTTTGAAAATATAAAAAATGAAATAAATATTCTTACCTAACCAATAACCAAATCCCATTAACAATAAACAAAAAATAAACCAAAAAGTTGAACCCCATTATCATGTTTTACTGCTCTGTTATTCCCAAAACCGATACTCTCTTTGCAAAGCATCCATTTTCCATTTTCCATTTCCCTCTCTCATAAGAACGAACCCTAACACGCGTTTTCTGTTCAATTCAACAAACCTCAGATCAGTGAAGAACATGGCACCAATCTTCACTTCACTTTACCTTTTCGGAATTCCCCTAATCCTAACCCTAACCCTAACCCTAATTCACTTCGCACATGCTAATTCTGAAGGAGACGCTCTTTACACACTCAAACGAAGCCTCACCGACCCTGATAATATCCTCCAGAGCTGGGATCCGACCCTAGTCAGTCCTTGTACTTGGTTCCATGTCACCTGTAACCAAGACAATCGGGTCACTCGAGTGTATTATTCTCTCTCACACACTTTTTTCTGATTCATTAGTTTTATTGTAGTGATTAATCAGTACTAGTCACTTCAAATTTTAAGAAAAATCATAAATTATTCAGTTTTTGGCTTGTTGTGTTTGATCTTTTACTTTGATTGGACCCTTGGTTTTGGATTTTGAGGGAAGTTTTTTCTGAAATTTGTTTTTGGGTTGTTTGTTTTTTATGATTATCTTATGTTATTTTTAGTGAGTCAATGTTGAGTTTGTTTCTATTTTTAGGGTGTGCATAGATATATTTTGGGAGCTATGTTTGTGATCAGTGAAAATTGATTAATAATAATATACATTCTTTATGGTGCTTGTGTTAATGTTTTTTTTTTTTTCTTTTCAAAATTTGTCAATTGCTTCAAGAAATTGAGGTTTTTTGAAGTTTGAGATTGATTCATTCATGTTGGGATTAATATAGTGCAATCTTAACACATTGGATCAACGAAATCAATTAATGATATTTCATTTTATGATACTTGTACAGGGATCTTGGTAATTCTAACCTATCTGGACATTTGGTACCTGAACTTGGGAAGCTAGAGCATCTGCAGTACCTGTATGTTATTTTATCTAATTCTTAATATTCCATGCTGATATTCTGACTCTAAATTTGTCGATTGTGACTGTAGTATTACTAAATTAATCAGTGTGTTAACATTTTGTTGCGGTTCTCTTTGTTTTGCGAATTTTCATATTTGTTGTCTTTAACTGTGACTCTCATTTTTGTTGAATGTAGTGAGCTGTACAAAAACAACATTGAAGGAACTATTCCTCCGGAGCTTGGAAACCTCAAGAGTCTTGTTAGCTTGGACTTGTATAACAATAACATATCGGGAACCATCCCATCTTCCTTGGGGAAATTGAAGAATCTTGTCTTTTTGTAAGGCTGATTAATATATTTCATTGCTACGCCCTTTAGGCATGAAAAGACTGTGCCATGCCATTTGCCTTCCTTTCACACCAGTTGCTTACAAGGCTTTGACGGTTGCAGAATAAATTCAGCAACCTGTGATTAAAACTTGCTGTAGATTTGAATTTTTTATTCGTGCTTTTAATTTAAAGTTATGGAGTTGATCATTGTGGGTTCAAGGCATGTTGTTTATGTTATGAGCTTTAGGGTATATGTTCGATGGTAAGACAGCTGAATCACATGCTAAAATGAATTGCATCCAAAATCAAGCGTGAGAACTTTTAACAAAACTTAGGGAAAATTTATAGGTTCAGCTGTTAATGGAATGTTGATTATCATTGTAAGCACCAAAACCAAGCGTGATAGTAATTCTGTTTTGAAGTGTTCAAAGCTGATAGTCTTTCAACATAACTTACCACATTGCTCACTGATGAAGCTTTTGATTATTGTTTTTCATCATAAATTATTCAGTATTTGCGTGTTTCTTATTTTCATTTTTTTTTGCAGACGACTTAATGATAACCGGCTAACTGGCCCAATCCCCAGGGAACTCATTGCTATTTCAAGCCTTAAAGTAGTGTAAGTCACATTTGTCTTTCTACGTTGTTGTTGATACAATAAAGTGAATATGTGTACTTTCAAAGAGCCTAAACATTCACTTTATCTTCAGGGATGTCTCCGCCAATAACTTATGTGGTACAATTCCTACCTCTGGGCCGTTCGAGCATATTCCATTGAATAAGTAGGTCCCAAATTTCTTTATATTTCTTAGCGTACGTTTTCTTCATGTTTTCTAAGTATAATTTTTTTTGCTGGTTGATGCTAGACTCTATTTATCTTCACTCTTACACCTGTTTTTAATGTCAGTTTCTTTCTTTATCTTTGTTTTTCTGGGATGGGGTGTAATAAGATCCCGTGTATGCCTCGTGCTATTGTATCTATTTCTCGTTATTATCATTGCTTTGTGATTGAGATGTTGTGGGTGTCTAGCTTTTAGGCTGTTTGCATTATATTCATGAAATTTAGTTAAACTATGGGTTGTAGTATTTGATTTAATTCTCCTTCCGCAAAATGCTATGCATATACTGCCCTATTGCGACAGTCAAATTGCTTTTTCGTCTGATACTGTTAGTCATTCATAGTTGCTATTACTGCATTTTTTGGGTGCTCTGATTCTGAAACATTTAGAAGCTTTTCTGGAATCTAAATAGAACATATTTCCGCCAGCTGCGTGCTTTCTTTCCTTCCCATTACTTGTATTGACTAACATTGTTCTGTTTTGTTGTAGCTTTGAGAATAACCCTCGGTTGGAAGGTCCAGAGTTGCTGGGACTTGTAAGTTACGACACAAACTGCTCGTGAATAACACGATGCTTTAGGATCTCAATCTATGTTGAGTTAAGTGTATTCTAAAATTGGAGTGTATTACGTGATAGTGTAATGGGGTGTGGTGTATATGTAAATTTACATACCGAAGAACATCGGCATTTGTAACAGTATTATGATCTTCCTCTGAAGTTGATGTCTTGAGTATCTATCTATTGATGTAAAATACTAGGAGAGAAAACAACTTGGTCACTGATAAAATATGTGACACAATAGTAATGTTTGTTAGTTTCTATTGGAAGCCCTGTTACTATTTTGTTCAATGCCAATGCAAGTGCTTAGAGTGTTTTACCTTAAGAATAGGTGGATATAAAAGGGCTCAAGTAAATAATAGGAATAGTAAATAATTGACTGTTTTATGGCAATTATGAGGCTGAGGATGCATATAGTTTTATGTTGCATGGTTTGTTTGAGGGACGATGAAGCATAAAACTACAAATAGTTGTATCATCATGTAGAATGTACATTTTTTTTGCAAATTGTTTATTGGGGTTTATAATTAATATGGCTTCAATTGTCACCTAACTTTGGAAGCTATTATATATTTTTTTGGCTTGATCGTAGTGTTGTAGGAGTACTCCTGCCTGTCCCTATTATGCAAGAAAAGAAAAAAAACCCTTAAATTTTGATCACTATCATAAGCAAAAATACTTAATAATATTTGTTACTATTATATCTTAAATTTCATTCAAAAGCATTTTAAACCCTCACATTTGAGGTCAAACATCTCTATCAAGAAAACGATAGTTATTAAAACATTGCAGTAATATCTCACTAATTATCACCTACTGGCAACCACCATTTGACATCACATGCTCTTTAATTTGTTGTTTCTTGTAGGAATTTATAACATTTTTTAGTGTTTTTGGTAGTCTTCTGAGTAGCTTTTGAATTTTCTTTTGGTGGACCATGTGGGTTTTGGATGTATTAGTTGAATTTTTCAGATAGTTATTGTCGATTAATTCATACACAATAAGAAATGCATAAACAAAATAGAGAATAATACTTAATTTGGTGTATAAGAGAATAATAATAATTTTTTAAAGTAATCTTGACACGTGTGATTCTATTCATATTTATTTTAAATATAAAGCAAAAAAATATTAAATTGAGAGTGTATAAGTAGCATTATTATTTAAATGATAAAATTGGAAAAAAAAAGTAATTGATGTGTATTCAAAAATTGACAAGATCAGTCCTATTTAGAACACATTTTTTTTATAGTAATAAAATAATTATTTTGCACTGGATAAAATATTAATTAATTAATATTGAATACATGAGAAATAAAAAAGTTCATTTCGTTTAATATTATCTGACAAATAAATTGATTACGTAAAGAAAATATTTTTGTCCTTCCCCTTCTTACCTGCTCGGCTGCTCCTTAGTTTCAATATGTAGAGGTCAGTTGATTATTCAAAACCATATAATACAATATAGCAACTTTAGTATAAAGTTTGTGACCAAACATATAAACTTTTAAATATCTTTTAACAGAGCAAATAGTTAAAAATGAATCAATATTTTTCCGGTTGAATCTATGTAAAAAAAGAAAATGTAACCGGTGTGCAGTTTTTTAAAGTCAGGTGCTGCTGTAACTTAAGGGGAATATAACTGTATGTGTTCAAAAAATGTAATAAATAAATTAAAAGCAAAATTCTCAACAGTCAGGATGGCCGAGTGGTCTAAGGCGCCAGACTCAAGTTCTGGTCTTCGAAAGAGGGCGTGGGTTCAAATCCCACTTCTGACAATTTTTTAAATTTTTGATTTTTTTTGTTCAAAACATTGTTTTTCATGTTTTTTTTTTGTTCAACCCATTGTTGGGCTGGGCCGAAATGAACAATGTTTAATAAGCTTAATACCTTAGTAGTAAAAAGCAATTTTACTTGTATCTATTAAATAACATACTATTTGTTTGAGTTTCTTAAATACATAAATATAAACAAGGAAATATTTTTAAACTATATACAACCCATTGTTGGGCTGGGCCGAAATGAACAATGTTTAATAAGCTTAATACCTTAGTAGTAAAAAGCAATTTTACTTGTATCTATTAAATAACATACTATTTGTTTGAGTTTCTTAAATACATAAATATAAACAAGGAAATATTTTTAAACTATATACATCAACTTTTTAATATCATTTTTTAATAAATTTTATTTTGGAGACAAGTACTTGGTTTTGAGAGGAAGTTGTGGAAGACAAATAAGTTGCAGTAAACTTAAATTTTATTTTTCATTTTTTAATTTTATACCTTTTTCTTTTGATTGAGAATAAGAATATGATAGGAAAATAAAAATATCTATTTTTCTTGGTTACCTAAATTCATTTTCTATTCTTTATACATTTTTGTGCTTCTTACCATATGCTATTAAGTAATTATGAAAGATTGGAAATGTGAAGTATTCACATTCGGCTAATTAGATTTCAATATATAAATACATTTTATCTTCAATATTTGCTATGAGCTGTTCTTATTAAAGAGAAGGCTATGAATAGTAAGAAATAGGAAGCAAGCCATGTAGGTGCATCATGCAGAAGATGCATTGTATAAGCTGAGTAACATGTAGAAGAAGCAAACAATGGTATAAGCATTATGATGCACGTGTGCATGAAAATGTATGCATGCTATGTCATCATGTAAGTCCTATATATAAAGGTGTTATACACTATAAATGATTCAATAATTCAAGCTAAGCTAAACATGATTCATTCAAATTTCAATATGGTATCAGTCACCTCTTGCAATCTCTTCCGCTCTCTAACAACCTTCTAACAACTCTAACCGTTTTCGGTTAGCTTTAACTATTCAACCTTCTTCCTTGAGCTGCCATGACAGATTCTTCCCCTGCAGTTAGTGTTGGTTCACTTGCACCAACACCTAGAGTCTTCAAAAATACCTCCAATTCAAACTTCACTCACCATTTCGATTTGAAACCTTCCATCAAACTTCAAGAGAACAATTATCTCATATAGAACTAACAAGTTGAAGATGTTATCCTCACTCAACAATCTCTGAGTTGGTGTTACCTTGAGTGCTATCTTGCAAGCATGCTTTCGATGTGCGAGACATTATTCCTCGTTACTTTAATGCCCACATGAAAGCACGTGTGAGGCAATTGCGAGCTGAACTGAAATCCATGAAGAAACGTAATAAATAGATAATTGAATATGTTCTGACCGTGAAATTTATTGCTAACTCTCTCTTAGAAGTGAGTAATTCCATCACTGAACAATATCATATTGATTCTATTCTTTAATCGTTTACCTGAAGTATATAACTCCTTTCTTTAATCCATGAAGAAACGTAATAAATAGATAATTGAATATGTTCTGACCGTGAAATTTATTGCTAACTCTCTCTTAGAAGTGAGTAATTCCATCACTGAACAATATCATATTGATTCTATTCTTTAATCGTTTACCTGAAGTATATAACTCCTTTGTTATGCAAATGTATGGTAGCCATGAACAACCAATTTACACCTTACTAGCACATATGCAAGATACTGAATCGATCTCTTCGAGATCACCACTTGGTAAGTCTAATCTAACTTCACTCCTTATGGTCCTCATTAGTCATAATATTGATACACTAAAGAATTACTCACACTGAGTATGGTTCACTAGGTTAACTCTTAAATCGTCTAACTTCCTAAACGTCTCAACACGTGATCAACTACACATTACATTTCCAAAAATTTAAAATTCCAAAACTATAAATCTGACTTGAATTAACTTGCAACTCCATTCTCAACTTCATACATCCATAATGGTACACTAATGAGATTTAGTATATACTTTGTTCCAACAAGGTGTGAACATCAAATTTCATGATCACCCAATCCAACATTACTTAGGAAGATGAACAACAATCCGACTTTCAAAAATCCACTCCCACTCTCGCCAACCAAATAATACGCACTCAAGATGAACCTTGACATTACACACTTATTAATCTCGATTCTCTTTCAAATAAATATCTACTAGACACTTCATAACATAGAGGTTACTTATCAAGATGACTTGCAACTCAAAATCCTTGTCTCCTACTTATGAGTTCATACGACGCAGTCCGCTTCCCGTTCCACACTTAGTTTTGTACTCCAGCTTGGCTTGTCTTTAGGTTCATACCACATACTCTAACTTCTTAGAACATAAAACTCACTACTCAAAATGAAGAGTGTGGTACTCGACAACCATCCCAAAACAAGACAATCAATTAAACATGCTTGTGACCATAATGCTAATATCACACGCTTCTTAATACCAAGGTATAACTTTCTCTATTCTACTCCATACTCTAGAAATCTTTGTAGGTGAACAATCATCAACTATACTCCCCTATCTTAGCCTAAATAAAATCTTAACAACTCTATTGTGCTTGTGCCTGAAATGCATCCCACTACAATAGTTTTATTGCAAGGTTTACACTACTCCCCACTTTGCATTTGCTTCTTTTCGTATGGTAGTTCTCTTAACTACACTTATATAACAACTCTACTAGAATTTTCTTAGGTCTAAAATACTTGCTTTTTTTCTCAACACAAACCTCTTACAACTTTTCCTTGTGTAACTCAACATTTCCATAACATATCCTACTGACACTGAATCTCTGACGAACTATCCTGAACCTGATCTCCCTTTTAAGACTGGATATACTTGGTTTATCTTCTATTCTTTGTCTGGTGCATACCTATTTCACTTGGAATAGGCAGTCATGTTCTCGATCCTCTTCTTATACTTCATCATTACCTTAGACCCTTAACAAAATGCTGAACGTCTCTATCTCTCAAGCCTTCAATCATTAGGAAGGTATCATTCTGAATATACTCCCTGAAGTACTCCCGTTCTTCCAAGATGTTCTAATGACCTAGAAGATGAAACACCGATGCACTACCTCACTCTCACACCTTATGGCATACATGCAACAAAATTGTCCTTTCTCATTCACTGTATTGAATTACTTACAA